CCCGCTTCCCAGGCCAGGATCCAATCCGCCCCGCCTCTCTTTCTTGCCGCCTAGACCAGACTATCCCTAAACTAGTTATTCGTGTCGTTAGTACGGGAGTGCGTGACTCTTATTCCCATCAGGCGCCTCTAGATCGCGTGGTCCGCTCTTCTTCTTATCGCGTTTCCGCGTGGTCCTGTCACCCGGCGGCGGTGTGGTGGTGGAGCATGGATCGCCTAGTGTGCCATTCCTCTGTTGCGCCGCACACACTCGCCACGCCGCTGCGCGCCGATTCGCGCACGCGGAAAGGCGCGGTGGCAGCCGTTGCCCTGCCGCAATCAACGTCGAGGGTTAAGCTCGATGCTCACGTGGCGAGCCGCGCCCACGTGGGCGCGAAGCAGCTGATGGGTCAGAGCCTCCATTCGGCGACGGAAGTGCTGCGATCGCGACATGTGGCGGGAGGGGATTCGTGCGGAAGACGAGGAGTTGTCGAAATGGTGCGTAACGCTGTGGTTAGAGGAAACTTCAAAACAGTAGAAGGAAGCCCGACTCGCGCGTACGGAAACTGAAGCTGGCATGTCGGCGTTCACGCGACCGGATCCGTTATACACTAGACGCTGATCGCGTTATAAATAGCCTCGTGATAGCAATCTTTCGCAGGGCACACACAGTCAGAATAACCTTTCGCGACAATTGCTCGCTTTGTTTCAGCAGACTTCTGCGAAAGTGTGTTCGCAATGTTAGAGCTCTGGCACCACAGGAAGGCTTGCCGCGAAACAGCACCGCGTCCATTATTCCCCGAGGCCTAAACAACTACACGGGTTACGACAGCCGCAAGCCCTATCGAGGTTCCAGAGATTCGCGGCGTTCTCAAGGTTTTCAGAAATCCCTAGGTTCACTGACTCTCGGGGCTCACGGCATTCCCAAGGTTCGCGGCCATTGCCGGCGCTTTAGCTCATCTTCACTGGATGCTGCCTCGCGCGTTTCGCTGTTCCAGCTGCTTGGCATATCCGCGTTATTGACGCATCGGGTTGGCGCCAGACGTGTCGTGTTTCCGCAATGCATCATCGTAGCCGTCCTTTACTTTTCAAAATTATCGAAATTAGCACGAATACGACGGCTCTTGTCGATTGTTGGAGCCCCCTGACGCTACTTGGAGCGCCCTGGCGATATTTGGAGCCATTCCAGCCTGGGCCTCTCGTTTCACCTCCAGCAGCAGTGGCGGCCGCGCGTTGTGTGTAACAGCGAAGAATCACTCGAGTCAAAATCTTGTCAGGCCGTCGTTTTTTCGGAAACCGGATTTCTTAGGCGTCGTATTGGAGACTGAGAGTATATAAACGCCCCAGGATTAATGTTTCACTCTCGACGTGTAATGTAGGCCGCATTACGCGATACTACAGAATCACTCTCGAGGCGCCTTAGTAGCCGTCTCGAACTCGGATTCCTAGTCATGACACTCGTGCCCTCCGCCACTTACAGCCCCATCCCACCCACCTTCATCCCCCCTTCTCGTCTTTCCCCCCGCTCCTCCCATTTCTCCCACTTCTCCTCTTCGCCCCTATCCTCTCCCCACCAACCCCTTTTCTCTTATACCGCGCCTCGCCGCTCCCCCTTCCCCCCTCCCTCCCCGCAGGTCATCCCGTTTCAAAAGGGCGAGGCAACTCAGCAGCCGCCACCGGATCTCCCCTCGTACCTCTTCAAGAACCGCATTGTGTTCCTGGGCATGTCGCTCGTGCCGTCCGTCACGGAGCTCATCATGGCGGAGCTGCTGTACCTGCAGTACGACAGCCCTGAGAAGCCGATTTATATGTACATCAACTCGACTGGAACAACTAAGGTACTGTAACGGATATCCGCGTTATAAAACGACTTTTGAGGCACCTCAAAAGCCGTGCCCTCCGCCACGGAGCTCATCATGGCTGAGTTACTGTACCTGCAGTTCGACAGCCCTGAGAAACCAATTCTACATGTATATCAATTCTACCGGCACTACCAAGGTACTGTACTGTAGAGAATATCCGCGTTATATAAGAGGTCAGTCCTGCAAGGGAGCTCCGTCCTTAGAGCTCATCATGGCGGAGCTGCTGTATCTGCAGTACGAAAGCCCGGAGAAACCGATTTATATGTACATCAACTCGACGGGAACCACTAAGGTACTGTAGTGTTATATCCCCGTTATAAGACGAGCTCATCATGGCCGAGTTGCAGTACGACAGCCCTGAGAAGCCGATTTACATGTATATCAACTCCACGGGAACCACCTAGGTAAAGTACTATAGCTCATCATGGCCGAACTGTTCTGCCTGCAGTACTAGGCCGAGTTACATCGTTATCAAATCCATGGATACCACCAAGGTACTGTACTGGTTATCCTCGTTATAAGACGACTGGAGATGGATGTCTTTCCACCTTCCCCCCCTCCCCTCTATTTCCCTCCCGGTTGAAACTTTCTCCTCCAATTTCCTCTTCCTTTGCCCCCTTCCGATGCGTTCAGGACGGGGAGAAGCTGGGGTACGAGACAGAGGCGTTTGCCATCTATGACACCATGCGGTCAGTCTTCCCTCCTCAGCCCTGCATCCGCTCTGTCTTTTTCTTCAGTGGCCTGCGCTCCTCCCTTTCCTGCCCTCTTTTCCTTTGCCATCTATGACACCATGCGGTCAGTCTTCCTTCTTAGCCTTCCTAGCGTTACCCTTACTTCCTCCTCTCCTTTCTCTTTCTGCCTTGCCCTCCCTTCCTTGCCTGCCATCCATTCCTGTGCCCTCCTCCCATCACCGCCCTTCCTTTTCTCTCTACTGTCCTCTCCCCCCATATATTCCCTCTTCCCCCCCCTTTCCTTAACCTTAGTTTTCCACCACCTCTCCCCTCTTCCACGCCCCAGCTACGTGAAGCCTCCGATCTTCACACTGTGTGTGGGCAACGCGTGGGGGGAGGCGGCGCTGCTGCTGTCTGCAGGGTCTAAGGGCAACCGGTCAGCACTGCCCTCCTCTTCCATCATGCTCAAGCAACCCATCTCTCGGTTCCGCGGGCAGGCCACCGACATTGACATCATGCGCAAGGAAGTGCGGAACGTGAAGACAGAACTGGTGAGGGGTTGAAAGTGGTTGAAAGACAAGCCAGTGATGTCTACAGGGCACCGACATTGGCAGGCCACTGACATTGACATCATGCGAAGTGCGGAATGTGAAGACCGAACAAGTGAGTGAGTGGGCCACATTTGTGACAATGAGAGAGGGGTCACTGACTCATACAGGCCACTGACATGGCATTGACATGGCATTGGCATGGCATTGACATGGCATTGACATGGCATTGGCATGGCATCAACATGGCATTGACATGGCATTGACATGGCATTCACGCCATGCGCAAGGAAGTGCGGAACATGAATTCAGAGCCGGTGAGTGCATGGGTACTAGAGAAAGAAGTCGGTGACATTGACAAACCACTGACGTTCAGAAGTCAATTATGTGCCGTGCAAGGTGAAGACATTGTTATACAGTGACATTGACACCAACTACTGTGCTTGACATCAATTACCGTGTTTGACATCAATTACCGTGTTTGACATCAATTACTGTGTTTGACATCAATTACTGTGTTTGACATCAATTACTGTGTTTGACATCAATTACTTTGTTTGACACCAATTACTGTGTTTGACATCAATTACTGTGTTTGACATCAATTATTGTGTTTGACATCAAGTACTGTGCTTGACATCAATTACTGTGCTTGACATCAATTACTGTGCTTGACATCAATTACTGTGTTTGACATCAATTACTGTGCTTGACATCAATTACTGTGTTTGACATCAATTACTGTGTTTGACCTCTCTGTTTGTCCTCCAGGTGAAGCTGTACTCGTGGCACACGGGCAAGTCAGAGGAGACGATCGAGAATGACATCGGCGTCCCTTGTACCTCACACCTGATGCTGCCGTGTGTTTGGCATCCCCCTGTTTCTCCCTGCAGGTGAAGCTGTACTCGCGGCACACGGGCAAGTCAGAGGAGACGATCGAGAATGACATCCGGCGTCCCTTGTACCTCACACCTGATGCTGCCGTGGAGTATGGCATCATTGATAAGGTGGGGGCGACCACTCTGGTAGTGATTGCACTGTGAACGTGCTGACCATGCGTAGGCGTCCCATGTACCTCACAACTGATGCTGCCGTGGAGTATGGCATCATTGATAAGGTATGTGACTCATGAGACACGCTGTGATATGAATGTGTTGCTGATGGCACATACCTCACACCTGATGCTGCCGTGGAATATGGCATCATTGATAAGGTTTGTCCGACACCTTATGAATGTGTTGCTGACCATTCTTTTGTTGTTGCTTAATTCTCATATTGCTTTGTTTTAGATGCTGCTCCGATTGGTTCAAGAGGCTAACACATGGTGTGCACGTCTTGAGCATGCAATGTTGGAGTGCATTTTAAGAATTTCACATTGTGCTGTGCCCTGTTGCTCGTGTTGCTGGGTGGCTGGAATTGCAGGTTCTTGACACGGACGCCAAGAACGATAGTGTTGTCGATTCCCTTCGCAAACGACAGCTTATCTAGGCTGTGATGGTAGTCCTGGCAATGCTATTACTAACAATAAGGGTACCTGCGGGGTTCATGTACTGGGTGGTAATAGGCAGTTATGTATTATGGAGTCACTGATATCCCGAAGGTACTGGAATTCCAACAGGAGCTTTGCAGGAGTGCACTGGACTGGCACCAGGAAATGTGCTAGACGTGAAATGGATAATATTGTGCAGTAACAATAAAGAGAAGCTAGATGTCTAGTTCTGGGAAGTTAGAATCAGAAATGATGCTGAGAAGACGGACAATTACATGCAGTCACAGCACTATGCCTTTTTCATTGCTGCATAAAATTTAGCTGCAGCCAGGGCACTAAACATGTTCCTCCGTCTAGGAAGAAAACAGAGAAGCTTTAAACACATCTACAAACCGATTTGATCATACGCGTCGTGTCAACCATCAACTGCTTTATTTCTGCTTCACGGAACCCTAGGTGACTTGGTGCTGGAAAAGCTGATCACAAAGCTCCTTGTGGCTGCTGTAAATCACATCACGCCGCATCTTCATTGTTGCTGTGAGGAGGCCATTATCCACCTGAAAGAACAACCCAGCACGGCTTGTCAGTAAGAGTACACACACCCGAGTCCACATTTTCATGGTTTGTAAATAGGCAGGCTTACTGTGAATGGTTCATCGAGGAGTGCAAATGGACCGATCCGTTCATGCGGCAAACAACCTGCCTCTGTTAAACTGAAAGAAGGAGAAATAAGGGGGGGGGGGGGAGGGAGGGAGGACCAATCAGAGTATTCAAAAGTTAGTGACCAGACTAAAAATGTGTGACAGTTTGTTTCGAATACAACCTGCAATGCTGACACTGCAAAACGTCTTGTTTGACTAGACTAGCGTACCAGCGGGTGAGCTCTTGTCGAACGACAGTCCTCTGTTCCTTTTCTGTCACCTCGCCTCCCTCCATCCCCTTCTCCGCTCTCATGCTTGCCACTGCAACCTCCATCTCCTCCTCATTCACAACAATCAGCGCTCCAAGCTTTCTCTCGTCCTGAAAACATAAGACAAGCAAGTAACAGAGTCTCAACATATACATACAGATATAGCTGGTTAAAGAAATGGCATTCAATGCATACAGACTGACATTCTTTGCTTCTAACCTGTTACACACGTTGCACACACTCGGTACCTGGCCGACGAGCATAATCTGGCGGATGACAGGGCTGCTAAGTGCAGCCTCCTCGACAAAAGCAGGCTCCACATTTTCACCTGTTCGAAAAAAGGACAAGAATGTACACATTGAAAAAAAAATCCAGCCACACACATCAGGTCAAAGTTGCGAGTACGTGTGTGCTTGTCAGCTGTCCAGTCACACGCACCACTGGCAAGAACAATGGTATCCTTGGCTCGGCCGTCAAGGACCAGAAGCCCTCCCGAGTTTCGAGCAGCGCCAACTGGAGTCAAAGGAGAGATCCATCCAAGGTCGCCCGTCGAGAACCAACCATCCTTGTCAATTGCCATTGTTGTGGCCACCGGGTTCTGTTGAACACCAACAAGCCCATGCACATAAGTTTGATTACACTGAAAAGGTGCAAGAATCCTGGCATCTAAACACAAATTTGAACTCGCCTTGTAGTAGCCCTTCATCACTTGAGGGCCACGTGCCTTGACCAACCCGCGTTGGCCTGCAGGGAGACCAGCTCCCGTCTCCAGGTCTACAATCTTTATCTCTGTTCCAGGAACGGGACTCCCAATGCTTCCCAATGCCTGTTTCAAAGACCGAAAAGAAAACCAAATCAAGTCCCATCGTCTGCTGTAGCAAGCACGTGACAATTGAGAAACTTCAGGTCGACCGTGCCTACATTGTTGGAACTTTGCCTGACTGTCAGCACAGGAGAGGTCTCTGTGAGCCCATATCCATTGAGCAGAGTGATCCCAATTTGCTGAAAACAAAAGAGAAGCGGCATCAGATAGAATGTGACAAAATTCAGGAGCTAACAAATTATTTTCAGAATGACCTAGTCAGTTCACAAAACTCAGGCATTCCATACCTCAAAGAATTTGTCCACGTGCGACGGCAAGCTGCCTCCACCACTCACAGCTGCCTGTGTGCACATACAAAGGGCAGAATTCGAGGCAACAATGTAAACAGCGTCTATCAACATGAACGTCTGAAAACAGTGTAAGCCTTGCTAGGTCATCTAAAATGCCATACCATACCTTTTTTATGCCGATAGCAGCTTTGACCTTGGTGTACACAAGCTTCTCCGCCAGCAGGTGAAGAGGCAGCAGCACCAGCGCTAAAAGTCCAGCTCCCAAACATTCTGCCACAGCCTTCATAAACATGAGCCCCTGAACGTTTTCACGTGAGCGGAGCACAGCCATTCCTGTCCAGATGCGCAGAGCTTCCTTGTGAAGGGAGCTGACTTTTATCAAGAACTTGGCAACTGCTGCCCTGGCGGTTGATGCTGCAGCAAGCTTCTTCTGGACTCCACTGCAAGCCCATCCCAAAACAGAAAATGCGTTTTGGGAATCTCACAAGTGGAAAGAATTCAATGTAGCTGGATGATGATGATTCAACATATAACTTACTGTGGCTGCATTACCTGTATAGAACCTCAAAGACAAGTGGAACAGCCACAAAGTAGTCCGGAGGGTGTTTGATCAAGTCCTCCTGCAATGCAATTTGAACAAGTTGATTCAGATGCCCAAACACACTGGGATGACTTGATTGAAATGCGATCATGCACTGGGCAAACCTTGAATGACTTGACATTGCTGTAGATGATTTGGACCCCACGGCTCAGTAGAAAGTACTCGCATGAGCGCTCGTACATGTGCCATGGGGGTAGCAGGCTCAACATGACATCACCAGCGTCAGGCGTTAGGGCACATTCAAAGTTTTTGACCTGCGCAACATGAGATGACGGAAAGGGACGTGCGAATGCATGCAAGCACGAACAAGATGGGACGATACTGGCGAATATGGCGAATAGTCATGGATAGTGGAGGAGGAAGAACGGGAAGACGAAATGGGGGCCCCGAGAGAGGTAGCCCGAGATAGCTGGAGGCAGAGCAGGATGGAACTGCAGGAACTGGGGGGGAGAGGGGAGCTTGACCTGATGCATCAGGTTGCTGTGCGTGAGCATCACGCCCTTGGGATTCCCGGTCGTCCCAGAAGTGTACACCAATGTTGCCACGTTATCAGGTCTGGACGCTTGACGAGGCGCTGAGCGCGACAGAGCATCATGAGTGAGCCTGCTTGCACTCCCAGCCGCCGAAACTTCTTCAAACGAGTACAGAGAAAACCATTTGGAGCACGTGCTGCTGGTCTTCCAGTCAGTACTTCGTTCCTGGCCTTTACCGGCTGGAGGCCAAAGGACAACTGCAAACTTGACAGTGTCTTTCACCGAAGAAGCTTCGAGAAACGGCGCAATGTGCTCAAGAACCTGGACGTTGTCCACGATGACAGCGGTACTGAAAGAAAGCATTTACAAAAAACGCGGTCATTCATACTGAAATGCGGGAACCTTACTGAGATGAAACGAACCCCAAAAGTCATGACGAACCTGTCTGAGTTTTCCAAAATGTGAAATAATTCCGCTCCTGAGGACTTCGCTCCTCGAACAGCATCACGAGCACCAATGTCCATCACGCCTGCTCGCACCCTCCAAACTCATGATCAGAATACGCTCGACCTTCAAAGTACTTATACGGCACTCCAGACCAAAACAGGCATCATCCCATAAAAATTGGCTTGCCTTGATCGGCGATAAGCCATCGGTGCGAGTTCTCAGCAAACAGCGAGGCGCACTCTCCTTGCTTCAGCCCATAGACGCGCAGACCTTCACCGAAATCATAAATTGCACTCTCGAGCTCTGAAAACGTCAAGCCTCGTTTTTGTCCGTGATGCGGATCGAAAAGAGCAATCTTGTCGCCATACTGCTCCGCGAGAGTTGGCCAGATGTCAGGAAGGACCTTCCACCTCCTCGTGGTTGACTCGCTCTCATCAGGTGTCGGGAACACAACGGGTGGGAAGGAACCTTCAAGACTACTCGGGACCTGCAGCCGGCGACACTAGCGATGAGAAATCGACTAACCATAACGCGTGATTTCCATGCAATTGATAGCATTAGCCTAATCTATTACCTCGAGAACGGAGTTGACTTTTAGAGAAGTGAAATTACGTCGAACATGCCCTCTGCCGCCGCTTTGCGAGCACTTCGGATACCTGTCTCCGAAAAAACCAAGTCGTTTACTGTTTTGTACTATCGAAAGTTTCCTCAACGACAGACTTGCCAAGCCCTGGTGAGCAGTGGTGCGCAAAAGCGCGGCCATGGCTTCAAAGACGAAGACACGCGAGCACGGGCTTTACTGGCAACAACCTAGATGGATGCACCAGCTTAGTGTTCTAGACGTCGGCTCAACCACTTTTGTTCACTCGCGGACGAGAAATAGTTTCTCTAAGCTAAGAGCCCGAATTCGTCGGAGCACATCAAGACTGACGTATGGAATAGCTCGGGTCAGCTAGAGGAGAAATAGTTTCTCTAAGCTAAGAGCCCGAATTCGTCGGAGCACATCAAGACTGACGTATGGAATAGCTCGGGTCAGCAAGGCGAGAATCTGAAAACACTCCCATCTTTGGTGTCTCTGGCAAGTCTGTCCATTCCGGCGCTGGAGCGGCACGTGAGCTCCGACTCGCTCCAGGCCAGCCAGGCATCGGACATGGCTCTCATGAGCCACAAGCACCGCCCGCCAATGAAATTCCTAGACGGACCTCCGACCAAACTGAATTCGGCGTGGCTGGCGCTATGGCCTCACGAAGGACAAGCCATTCGCCTTTTTCTCTGCCTTCTTTGCCTTCCCACCCAGCCAAATTCCCTGAAACCACGGTAAACCGTTCTGGTCTGGATGCAAAGCAGGTGGATGTGATGGAGAACCCATCAAGGCAACACGTGAGAGGGGCAATAGCCAATCTGTGCACTTCGCGTGTGTTGCCCGAACTTGCAGTTGGGCAGGGCGAGAATCAACGAGGGCTACGAAATGGCTCGCCATTCGACGACTGTGGCAAAGTAGCTCCCCATTCGAGAATTGCGGCTTGCGTGGGGACCACTGCGCTCATGCAGCCTCTCGCGTCTCGCCTTGCGGGCAGACTGCATGTCGCAACCATATTGCTGCTGGAGAAGCAATTTTGGCAGCGTGGGTGGTGTGCCGCACAAATTGTATACGCGCTTGAGGGTTGTACATTTGATAGGTCTGCTAGATTTGAGATTGGTTTCAAATCTCGGCTTATGCCTGATACATCCTATGCATATGAAAATCATGAAAGCACAAATTGTGCTCCACTAGCCCTGGCACATCAAATCCCGTCCTAATCTGATCAGCGACGGAACCAGTTGACAAAGGATGTGGCTAAAGGTGCACCACCACTTGTTGCCACAGGAGATGAGGAGGGTGATGGAACAGAAGAAAAGGCCTTGGCAGTTGACTGTACCTTTTGCCACATTTCCTCTCCCACCACACAATGTGCGGATTGTGAAAATGTAAACGCCTGGAACCCATCATTCTCAGCACTCTTCGTTTGCACAATCCTTTGTATCGAGGAGCTAACTTTTGCAGAAAAGGACTGCAGCAGCTTCACCTGGCCTGGTGAGCAGCTTTGGTAGCTGGAACGGAGGCAACGAAGCAGGGGGTCCGTGGTACCCTTGGGCCTGGGTGCGAGGGTCAGACTGATGGCTTTGTAATCGGACAAGGAGTTGACAATGAGCATTGGAGAGCGTGAGAATTGCAGGTTGTACTCCGGGAAGAAACACTTCCATGTGTCGTTGGTCTTCTTCATGGCTGCATATAGAGTGAGGATGGGGACCAGGGGGAAAAAGAGCAAGGAGAGAGGAAACAGAAAGACAGGGATGAAACGCAAAGCAAGATGTTAGATAGAGCAAGTGGAGGAGGTCCTTGCAAAGGTACTGTGCAAGCCGGAAAGAGTCAATTTCATTGCATCTGCATTGAACATCAATCCGCTGGGGACTACTCCAGCTAACGAGAAGGCTGTGCTTGCATCACTTGAGTGAGAGAGTTCCTTTCGCCCATTGTTCAATGCTCAGTGCTCATTGCTCGTTGCTCATTGGACAGTGGCGACTCACCTCGCTTGCACTCGGCGTTGACCCCAATACGCCCCATGTCATGCACGCCTGCCATCTGCTGCACCTTCTGCCTCATGCTGTACTGCCCGTCCTTATCCGCCACATCTGAAGGGAGGGATCAGGCAGGGGAGATCATGGTAGCTAAGGGGGAGGTGGGGAATGTGATTCGGCTACAAAAGGCTCATTGTGCCTCATGCTCCACTGCTTGTCCTGATCCGCCTTGGTTTAGCATCAGCTTAAGGGAGGGGGGAGGGAAGGGACGGATGTGGCATCAGCTACACCTTCTGCCTCACGCTGCAGTGCTGGCCCTTATCCGCCACATTAGGAATCAGGCAGGGGAGGGAGTGGTATTGACTGATGGAGAGCAGCAGCACCAGCAGCAGCAGCAGCAGCAGCAGCAGCAGCAGCAGCAGCAGCAGCAGTGACATACTCTAGTTAAACCTACAATAGATGAGGCCATTCCAGAGAGACGTACCTGGGAAGTAGCCTCCGTCGATGAAGCATTTGGTGGTGACGTTGTAGTTGGCCACCCACCTCTAGAACGAATGCCCGTTCGAATTGTCTCCCCAGCAAGGCCTACCCCGGATGAAGCCTGCCCCAGGTGATGCAGGCAGGTGAGGCCTACCTGGGAAGTAGCCTCCGTCCATGAAGCATTTGGTGGTGACGTTGTAGTTGGCCATCCACCTCGAGATCTGATCGCATTCTATCAATGCTCACGTGGAAACCTACCCCAAGAGAAGCCTACGCAAAGTGAAGAAGGCCTGCAAAGCACCCTCCATCACAAGTGAGGCCTACTCTGACCTACTCTGGCCTACTCTGGCCTACTCTGGCCTACCTGGGAAGTAGCCTCCATCCATGAAGCACTTGGTGGTGACGTTATAATTGGCCAGCCACCTCGAGATTTGATCGCATTTGATTGACGTTGCGACGCCGCCTGCACTGCAGCCGCCCACCAGCATCTGCTTGCCCACATTCAGCCCGTGCCGAGCTAGCAGATCTGCAGGGTTGGGGATGAGAGGCGGAGGGGTTGAGAGGGGGAGGGGAGGTTGGTAAAGGAAGCGGGCTTCGTCGGAAAAACGCGAGCTAAGTGAACTTAGTTTTATTTACATTGCCCTCTCTCATACTGTGTGCTTCGCTGAATTTTATTCTAAAAAGTGGGCAAGAACTTGCTATATACACCGTGTTTCGTTGTGACGTTTCCCGAGAATCCAGAAAATGATTCACCACACACCTTGCAGCGTGCCCTGCAGGTTCCAGTGCCCGCGGAAGTAGAGCGCGCGCCCCGTCTCCGCGTTTGGCGGAAGCTTGCCGTAGCCGCCGGTGAAGGAGCTGCCGTCGCAGTACTTGACGAGCACCAGGTTCCAGTTGTAGAACGCGGGATTCACGGCGCTGTCCGTGCTGCCCACGCCGCCGTACTTCACGTCCTGTTGCGGGGAGAGGAGTGGCGGGGAAAGGGGAATGGAGCGAGGGAAAAGGACCGAGGAGACAGGAAAGAGAGTTTGTTGGGAGGTGTGGGTGCGGTGAGAAGGAGCAGCGCAGCTTGCCGTAGACGCTAGTGAAGGAGCTGCCATCGCAGTACTTGACGAGCACCAGGTTCCAGTTGTAGAACGCGGGATTCACGGCGCTGTCCGTGCTGCCCACGCCGCCGTACTTCACGTCCTGTTGCGGGGACAGGGAGAGACGGGGGGCCGGGGAGAGGAGAGGCGGGGAGGGCGGAAAGGAGTGGGGAAAAGGACCGAAGGGACGGGAAAGAGGGTTTGTTGGGAGGTGTTGGATGTGGTGAGAAGGAGCAGCGCAGCTTGCCGTAGCCGCCGGTGAAGGAGCTGATGCAATGAGAATGACAATTCTGGCGCTTTTCGGCCCCCTCTCTGTAGAGAGGATGTTTTTGGGACATCCCAAAAACACCCTCTCTACATTTCGCCTCCCTCTCTGTCGTGCCGCTGCTGGCTCACGTCGCTGTCGGCGCCGCTCACCCCGCCGTACGGTAAGGGTGTCTCATGCATTTTCTCGAAAGCTGCCTTAAGCCAGCGCAATGCGAGGTGCTGAGCCCCGGAATAACGTACGCTAGCCAGCTCTGACTCCACCGTATCGCCTCTAAAACTCCCTTGATACGGGCACGACGACAGTTGCGGAGGTTGAGAGTTCTACGTCTGCTGGTTGGCGGTGATTCGCAGCTGACTTGAAAATCATCTCGATGACGGTGAGAGGTGCTGAGGATGGGAATAGTACGTACGCTGGTCGCCGGCCATTTCTTAGAGCTCCCCAGGGGTCCCTTGGCTCGATTCGCGCAAGACTTGGCGTTGAAACACCACCCGCCAGCCTGGCAATGCACAAGAAACGCGGATGACACGAGAATGAAATGGGTGTCATCAACCGGCGCTACAAAAACTACAATATGGCAAGAACAACCAAAGAGGCATCGTCGCATTGCTTTGTCTACTCCGGAAAAACATCTCTACTGCATCAATAAGAGTGTTTTTTTCCGGCCCTAAATCTACACTTGAGAATACGGCACCGCTTACTTCGAGAATCATGATCCAGTTGTTGGCGCCGCTTCCGAACCCGCGTCGCAGGTAGTACCCAGCAGGACTACCGTCCAAGCACCTTGCACGAGAGTTCTTCTTCGACAGGAGATACAGCCGTGCGACGTGCAGGTTGTCGCCTGCGGCGACGCCGCTGCTCGCCTGCGTCGCAGCGCCGTCAATCGTCCCTCGCAGCTGTGCCACGCGAGGCATGCTCGGCGGGCCGCCAGGTAAAACGCCGACTCCAGCGTCACGGCCGCCGACGCCGCCGGAAGAAGAGAAATCAGTGTGCGGTCCGAAAGACTCAGCGTCAACGCCGCTGTCTATCGACTCGAAAGGGCTCAGGTCTGCGATCTCTAGCGTAGCCGCTTCGCTACTTGCGACAGTGTGCGACGGGGCCAGGATGACGAGCAGGAGGAGGAGGATGGAGATAAATGGGGGGAATGCGTGAAGCCGCATTCGGAGGAGGGGCGATCGGTCCATGTCTAAATGTGTAGGCACGCGTTCATTCACTCGAAGAAGAGACGAACGAAGGCCGTTATTCTTCTCGGCGTAAAATGCTAGCTATGGTGTCAAAGGGCGGCGGATGTGATGAGAAAGGATTGTGATGAGAAAGGATTTGCTTTTGAACAGGGTAAAGCTAGTGAGCCAAGTGAAATTTGCTTCTCCCCTGTTACCTAAATTATTTCGGTGTTCTCGCGTTCGCTCACTCTTGTGCTTTGGGTCACGTGCTTGCCTTGCTGTCGATTGTCCCAACCGCGCAGGAGAAATGCCTGCACTGTCACATTGGAGCGAGCCGCGACACGGAAATATCAAAGCGGCGCGCGCATTTTGAAATTGCGCCAACGCGAAAGTGCTGAGGCTAGGAAGGCTGTTCGCGTGCTGAGTGATTCTAGCGAAATCAGAGTTACCATGGGTGACGAAACAGCTGTTGTGCACCCTGACTGACACCATTGTGGTCGCATATCCGCGACACGGTTCGGTTCAGGCTGCTCCGCAATGAAAAGCTGCACCTTGGAAACAGTAAAAACCACCATATACTTCTGTACACCGAGCCTTTTATAGCAAGCAGTTACGAAATGCCAATTTCCACCACTGCCTTCTGTTATCGGAACCATCCGTAAGCTCACAATACTGTTCTCAATTCCGAGAGTTATGTCCTAAAGTAACCACATAGCGCTTCGTACGCGCACCTTTCCGAGCCTATTCCTACGCGCTGATCCGGGGACCAGTTAGCATCAAACGCTAAGCCGTGTAGGTTTCCTTGTGAGACCACTAGGCGACAGACGCTGTCTGTAACGCCAGGCTTCTTCAGAGTCGTGGAAGTCGGTCAAGCGCATCGCGTGCTGGCGGGGAACACGGACATTTCTCGTAGGAGTCTTGTGCTCATTGTTAAATTTGCCTGGCCTGGTCGTAGCAGCTCGTTATTGAGGCGAAGGGGGGAATTCTGAGGCGGCTTAGGACGCGCTAATCGCAGCAGGCGGTGACTCACTTTTTGCTGACAAATATGGTAACGAAACTTGCGCTCAGTCTGTTTCTTGTTTAGGAAGCTGTAACTGTTGTACATTTGGAATGTCGAATTGGTGATTTGAAATGGCGTAACTGGACTGTCACAGCGAGTGCCCCTCGGTTAGGGTTTCCTTGCTGTTTGTACTCGTCTATCTGCTAGAGCAACCGCTTTTAATTGGAGCACACCATCTCGGTTAGGGTTCCCTCCCGCGTTATCAGCTGTCCCCTGCATTCACCCAACCAATCCTCCTGGACGCGCACCGTTTCCAATGCTCTCACTATCTTTCTACTAATCTGTGCGACCTCTCCATAGCCTTCTTCACACACTCCGTGCTTAATCATTCTTACAGACTATTGTTTTTTTTTCCTCTCTCTCTCTCTCTCTCTCTCTCTCTCTCTCTCTCTCTCTCTCTCTCTCTCTCTCTCTCTCTCTCTCTCTCTCTCTCTCTCTCTCTCTCTCTCTCTCTCCATGCCCGACATTCCCTGTCCCTATTGCTGTGCCCAAATCGTACCACCGTCCTCCCCCTCTCCCGTAACCAATCAGGATGGACACACCATTCTTCTGCTGCAAACAGCGCCACAGAAATCATCATGCACTTATATCGAGTACCCCACCACAGCAGAAGCCATTGATGGTATTTCCCTTCCCTCGCTCTCATTCGTCTCCTGTATTATTCCATACTTGGGAATATGAATGCATGCATTTAGTCTTTTCCACTCTTACCCAAAGAACGCACCCCTCACCTGTATTTCAAGCCCCAACCCTGAAACCTTACACTTTCTAAGCCAAAGGAACGCACTCCTCACCTGTACTTTAAGCCCCAACCCCGAAACCTAAACTTGCTCAAACTCTGAAACCCTCTTGAGGATCCCCAAACGACAATACCTATCGCAAGTTCAGGGTTCCAAGAGCGGAGGATTGAGTGCCCATGCGGAAATAAACATGGCACAAAATGTCGTTTCTGTTTTCTTTATCCATGCTCGTCCCTCTGCTCGCCATGCATGACTCACAGGGCTGTGTGCTCTCTTTGAGCGGCGGCTCAAGGAGATGAACCCTGGAGTGAAGAACATCACATACGACATCTCAGAGCTGTACCAGTTCATGGAGTCTCTGCCCGACCTCACCGCCCTTGTGTGAGTTCCTTTGCTGTACCTCCACCTGTTATTATGCTTGCTCTGTTTGACCGGCACCCCAAGGAGATGAGCCCCCAAGGATATGAAGAACATCACATGCAGCGTCTCAGAGCTGTACCAGTTGATGGAATCTCTGTGTGACCTCACCGCCGCCCTCGTGTAAGTCCCTTGGCAACACATATGCTTGCTTGGTTCAAGCAACGGCTCAAGTGAGATATGCCCCCCGACTCCCGAGGGAGTGAAGAACATCACATATGGCATCTCGGAGCTGTACTTGTACATGGAGTCGCTGCGTCACCTGACGGCCTTCGTGTAACTTCGTCAGCAGAAGTTCACCTTTTACCTCTCGTCCTGCGCTTTGCCTTTTCCCCTATCCCTGCCCCTGTCTCTTCCCCCCCACCACTATCCCTTGCCCTTGTTAGTGCCACTGCCTTACCGTACCCCGCCTTCCGTTTCCTCTCAAACCCCCTTTCGTACCCTTACCATTGTGGCTCTCATTCTTGCCAAAACACTGTCACACACCACTTCGTATGTGACATTCAGTCGTTGTGTCACAATCAAAATGTGCACTGTCTGTCTCTTGTTGCTTGTGCATGCAGACTGGATGAGTCTATCTGTGCATACGTCCATTTGACCGAAAACGGCTCAAAGAGCTTGCATACCAGCGGCTAAGCAAGCTAGCTGGTGTACAATGATTATTGCAACATGCCACATCATGTAATCTGCATCATATGACCTCCCTATGTTTTGAGGAGCATGGCCATCTACGTATAGTCTAGCTCAAGGAAACAAAAGGTTATGCGGGTAATTCATTCCGCATGTAGGATTAGGGATGTGTCCTCGTGGCTGCTTATTTCATCCTAAATTGAGCCAATTTACGGTATTCCAGCTCCAAACCAAGCACTGTGCTACAGGCGATCAAATGGTGTAGGATATGAAGCCATCGAAATGCTTGCAATAGACCCAGGACACCAGGTGAGACTGCCTCACACAGTCTTCATCAACAAGGCTTGTGTATGGGTACCAGAGTCTTTGTCCACATTTACAGGGATCAAGTTTTTGAAGCTTCCACGTTTCACTTTATATAGACATCGGTAAGACAGTGTACTTAATAATTCACCGAACGGAACAAAACGACTAGCGAGCAAGCAAAATGAAATGCTTGGCGGTTCGCGGTTCCGCAAACCTCTCCCGCTCATTCCCTTTGAGACGCGACGCGCGTGGGCGACACGTAATTTACATCAACGAGAGCCAAAATGTCGAATGTTGAAAATCCAATTTCGACCTCCCTCCTCCACACCACACCATACACATGCCACGAATTCACTCCTTGGCCTGGCCATGGTCCAGGTGAAGAGCAGTCTCTTCTAGTGCAGGTTCAGCATTCCTCTAGATGTGTGTATCGTGTAGTCCTAACGGCTTACCTGGGCGTGCGCGTGGCGAATGCGATTCGACACCCTACAGAAAATCGACTGCGCTGAGGGCACCTTGCTGAATAGTGTCTGGAGATTCTTGGCTTTGTCGTTTGATCGTGGCAAAGCAGCGAGCAACTTGTTAAAGGATCTGGACCACCCGAGCTACGAAGTAGCGATCCAGAGCGCATTGTCTATCCGTTGGAAAAAGTAAGACGCGGAGAGATAGGTCATCTTGAAGGATCTCTGTTTTCATTCAGACCTCAGTGATTCTGGCCGCAGTTTTATCAGTACGAGCCTAATACTTTTCCAACTAGACCCTCTAGCGTGATCGAACAACCAGCAATACGCCTAGCTTGTATGACTTATCCCGCCAGGAGCTAGATCATAGCGTTCGTCTCAGAGAAATGGCACGGAGTCACCATCGCATTGGACAAGGCCTTCAGGCCTCGCTTATAAGCCTCACCCTCGTACTCGCGCTTGTCGCGCTCTCTGCAGCCCTCGCTTCCGCGTCCGTGAGTCCCGCGCGCCCACGCAACCTGCTTGCCTCCGCACTAGCAGACTTCAAATCGCGTGGCGACTTGAATGGGAACAGCAACGGCGGCTCGAGTCCCAAGCCAGGTGCCAGTGCGTCGTCCGTTAATCCCGGCGGCCGCGTCGCGCGGCTTCACATGCTGTCGAAGGAGCAGACGCGAGTCGATGCCTGGACGGGAGGTAAGAGCGGAGGAATGTTGCTAGAACGAACGGCTCTTTATTCATTCACATAAGTTCATTTTGCCGCATTGCGTGGCTGCACATGCTGTTGAAGGAGCATAGGTGAGTTCGATGCCCGAATGGGTGATGAGAGTAGAAAAGTGTTCCTTAAACGTACTTTCCTCTTTGAACATTCTCGTATAATCAATCCGAAAGCATCTCGGAAATAACATTGATCTGTTCACCCGTGTTTTCGCAGCATGCCGGGTTACTATCTTCGCGAGGGTTATGGCACGGGCGCGAACAAGTGGATCCTTTTTATGGAGGTGAGCGCGAACCGAAGTGCAACAACTCTGATTCAGGCAACAAGTGCATTCAGTGAATCTGGTTTCGCAAAGCTCTAAACCCTTTAGTTTTCCTGGTCCTCAACCTTTGCGGCCGTATTCTTCATAGGAAAAGCACTCCATGGATATCATTCTTCCAGCTGCATCCGTCCCTAATAATTTTTTCTCCAAATCCCGCTTTCTGTTTTCTACCCCTAGGGCGGTGGGTGGTGCTTCAATCCGAAGCAATGCGCCAACCGCGCAAAGACGGACCTTGGGAGCTCCGTCAACTGGCCGTCCGTCAGCGTGAGTATGGAATCTTGCACCGTTCATTTGGATTCAACAATGTCGTATGTCAATGCGAGTTCCAGCCATACTCGGTACTGAGGAGTCGCAGAAAATACCGCAGACCGAGAAGCCCGTGTCCCTCTCCCCATTTCCTTGCTCCCGTTCCGCTTCTCCCTCCGCTTCTCCCTCCGCTTCTCCCTTTCTTTCCCTCCCTGCAGAACGTGCACTTCGGCGGAGTCGCAAGCCCCGACGCGGGGATTAACCCCCAGTTCTACAACTGGAATGTGGTGCTTGTCAAGTACTGCGACGGCAGCTCCTTCACGGGCGGTTCGGGCAAGAAGAACAAGACGGAGGAGACCGGCAAGACGCTCTACTATAGGGGACACTGGAACTTAAACGGCGTGCTTCAAGGTACGTTTTTTTTTAAGCTGGACTATCAGAACCTAAATCACAGGGAGCTGACCTATCTCGGTCCAAAGAATAATTTCCGCTGAAACCCTTCCCTCTTGACTTGGTTCTCCCCCTTCGGCCCTCCGCGCTCCCCGTTTCCCCCGGTCTCAGATCTGCTGGACACTCAAAATCTGAACCACGGGGAGGAGGTGCTGGTGGGGGGCTGCAGCGCGGGCGCGGTGGCCGTGTCGATCAAGTGCGACCAGATCGCCACGTGGCTCGAGGATTACGGCATCAAGACCAAGTGCTTTATGGATGGAGGTTTCTTCCCAGGTAGGCCGTTTTGGGGTTGGCTTGGCTGTATCGGGGACCGTTTCCCAGGGGCATAAATTTCCGGTTTTACAAGGGTTGGAATGGTAATGCTCTGTGTGCCAGCTCTCCATAGTGGCGCTGCTTACCTTCTCTCCCCGTTAATTTGTTTTTTCTTTTGTTTTCGATTTTCGCATCTCCCCTTTATTTCGCTGTGCCCGGCAGACGTGGTGGATGTGAACGGCGAGCGGTCGCTGCGGGAGAAGGTGCAGCGGCTGGCAACACTGCATGACATCGACCGGATTGGGATCAACGGCGACTGCAAGGATGGTGAGTTCAGAAAATTCACCATGGCATGGATGATTGTCTGTTATGGTGGTGAGTGTTCAATTTTTCCTCCCCTTCCTCACACTCTCACTGTCAATGTTACTGACTTTTCCTTATCGCTTTTCTTCTCGCCTTGAAGCGAGTCCGTCCTCTCCATTCCCCTATCTCCAAATCACTTAACCCTCAGTTGCCTTTTTTCGGCGTCTCTTTACCTCCCCCTCCTCTCAGCCATGCAACCAAGTGATTCCACGTGGAAGTGTTTCTTCCCCGAATACAATCTCAAGTTCGTCAAATCGCCAATGTTCGTCGTGAACTCGCTGGTGGACTATAAGGCCGTCGCGATCGCCATGTCGCCAAAGGCGAAGGGGAAAGCCAACCCGCTTGTGCGCTGCCTCGGTTCCCACTTAAAGAAGTGCACCCCGCAGCAAATAAGCCAGCTACAGTACTTTTCCAGCAACATTAAAAATTCGTTAAACAGCGTGACGAAAAACCGGCAAGCAGCGGGGGTTCCGTTTGACACGTTTACATTCACTGAATCTACCCACTGTGTGGTGGGAGACGAAATGTGGCAGAAGCTTCAGGATGACGTTTCAGGAGGCTCGGGAGGAGGGAACGGTGTGGCTGGTGCTGCGTCAACTGGTCTCAGTCCGACGAATAAAAAGCCTAATTTGGCGGGATCCTTCAATAGCTGGTATCATTAATCGCGAAGGCTGGAGATGGCAACGGGAGAGGAGAGGGAAGGGAGTTCATCTGAGAGGAGGAGGGGAGGGGGCGATCGGACGGTGGGGAATAAGGTCTGGGGGTTGGGGACTAACCCTGTTTTCGTTACGACTGGGGAGACTAAGGCTGCTGCGGTGCTGGAGTACATCAGGGTGCTGCGATCACGCTGCAACAAGGCGAGACTGCGAGAACTGCAGGCCACAATCACCGAAGCTCCGACACGTAGGGACCCACGTGTACAAGAAGTGAGTGAAGAGGGCGTACGCAGATACATACGCACGGGGGAAAGCAAGACGAAAGGAGAAAGCGTACTGTGGAGAGGAGATGTGGCGAACCGACGATACTGGTTACGGGGGTGGACACGCAGATGTCGTTAAACACGAGCTGCTGCTGCACACGGCCCCGCACACAAACCGTACACAACTGACTGACACTGGGGGGGCTGTTTGGGGTAGATTTCTCTGTCTGTTACTAGCTTCGCGTAGTAGGGGATTCAGTCATTGATGTAATAGTGCATATATATCATTTTGAACAGCAAAGTACAACAAAAGCGGGAAATAAGGTCAAAATCCCATTGGACATTTGCCACCACCCACGTTTCTGTTTGCTGGTACCTTCGCTGCGTCCGCTCCTTCCCCCTCCTTCCCCTTCACCCCACCTCCCTCTCTCATTCTCCCTCTAGACGTGGCCAAAGGACCAAATGCCGGCACAAGTTTTCCTGCTGCCCCAAGCCCAAATGCCGGGCAGTTGACATAAATTGATTCGTACTGCCCAGCTTTGATTGCATATGATTCGTGCCACACGCCGATGTCAGGGCCGTCCCTCAACAACCTAGTCATTCGCTTCCATGCTGCTTGTAAGGAGGGAGACAGTATGGTGGACACGGGAAAACGGGGAGATTATTGGAGAGGGGTACCTAGGCAGTCTAGACAAGGTATTAAGATGCAGGGAAGACGTGAGTAAGGAGATTGGGGAGGAGGGAGTGGAATCAGAAAACGGGCAGATGAAAGGATATGAAGAAACTTGGACAAACCTGTCTCAAAATCCCCACAACCGAGCTTCTATACGCGCACCCAGCCCAAGCCTCCAAACGACATACCTGAGCCAAGCCTCGCGACATACCTACCCTTGCACACGGTTCTGGTCGTTGGCATAAGTCACACCCCATGCCTAGGGCACGTACCAGCCCATAACCCCCCCCAAGGCTCATACCTGAGCCGTGCACGAGGTTCTTGTCGTTGGCATAAGGGACAAGACAAGTTGATCGTATGAGCGCTAGTACATGACAGCGATTGTCTGCGAGCCACCCAGGTCCCAGACATGTTCCTGACACCGGTTGATGCCCTGGCACACACCTGAGCCGTGCACGAGGTTCTGGTCGTTGGCATAAGAAACCAGGTCATCGTCGCGCGCCAGTACATGACAGCCAATGCACTCTTACCTCCCATGCACCAGGCACACACCTGACCCGTGCACGAGGTTCTGGTCATTGGCATACGAAACAAGGTCATCGTACGAGCGCCAGTACATGACATCCAAATCTCGCGTACCAGCCATGCTCCAGCCATACACCCTCCCC